TGTAACCAGAGCACTAAGAAGAGCAGCACTTGATACCTGGTGGGCACGCACCGTGGCTGGAGGCTGTGCCACCAGGTGAGCTGCTGCAGCTCTTTATTCTCACCTGTTGGCTGGAGCTGAGGCAGTGCAGCAGCAAGTCAGGTGTGTGCCAGTGGGCTCCTGCTGTCGAGGTGGGGACCGGGCTTTGCGACCTGCTGGCAGCAGCTCTGCTGGCAGGCTTTCTAGTTTTCTAAATCTTTTTATAATGCAACTCAAAGGCTCCTGTTGCCAGTGCACCAGCTGAGCAGAGAGCTTTTCTTCCTGCTGGAGGTTATAATTCTATTTATGGGCTTTTCTTACTTGGGAAGAACGGCAGAACCATGTAGTAAGAGTCTGTCTTGTCTTTTCTTTGAAGGGTTGGAATTTATTGCCAAGTCAAGGCAGAGAATAGGTTTGAAACAAAGTGGATGACATTTTCTATAATGGTGTCTTGATGCTGTCCTGGACAGAGAAGGGGCACAGAGAAGGAGCAGCTTTATGGAAGCAAGAAGCTTGCTCTGTGCAAGGTCAGGGGATGTTTGGAGGTTGGGTCAGGGCTCTCTGCTGGGGAAGGTGTGAGCACTGGAGGCTTCAACCTTGAGCAGCCTGTTCATGAGCATTGCAAGAAAATCAGCATTCTTAGGCTGCATGTGGGCAAAGCTTGTTTTCTTAGAGGGCAGTGAGGAGGGAATATCTGCTAAAGAGGCCTGTGGTTCTGTGTCTTCTGTCTACTCAGATTTCAACGTTGCTTATGCTGGGAAGAAACAAGGATGGTCCCATAAAGGCTGGAGGGGGAATTAGAAAGATGCAGTTGATTTTGTTCTTTGCTCCCTTACAAGAAATGCCTAAAAATAAGCAGAGTTTAGATACCAGTATTGCAATCCTGATGAGCAAAAGCTATACTTGAAAAAAGAGAAAATTTGGCAAATTCTGATGTAATCATTCCTTGCATGTTTTCATTTTTCCAGTTGATATGTTTCTTCCTTTCTTTTTAAATAATGTTTCATTGAGATACAATTCATGTAGCATAAAAGGCACCATTTTGAAATGTACCATTCAGTGGTTTTTAGCATATTCATAGCATTTTGCAGCTGTGAATCACCACTGTCTGATTCCAGAGGATTTTCAGTATCCTCTAAAAAAACCTGTGTCCATTACCACTCCTCCCATGCTTCGAGCCTCCGGAAACCAGTACGTTACTTTCTATCTCTGTGAATTTTCCTGTTCTGGATGTTTCATATACATGGTTTCGTACACTGCGTGGCTTCTGTGTCTGGCTTCTTTCACTTAGCACAGTGTTTTCAAGATCCATCCATGTCGTAGCATAAATCAGCACTGAGGTGCATTTCTTTTTATTGTATGGATATACCACATTTTTCTTTACACATTTATTGGGTGATGGACATGAGGATATTTCCACTTTTTGGCTATTTGGAATAATGTTGCTATGAACATTCATGTACAGTTTTTTTGTGTAGAGATATGTTTTCAGTTATATTGGGTGCCTACCCAGTTGTGGAATTGCTGGGTCCTATGCAACACTGTGTTTAACACTTTGAGGAACTGCCAAACTGCAGTCACATGTTCATAACGACCTTTTGGTCAGTGTTGGACTGCATACAGGACAGTGCTGTCATAAGATTGTAATGGAGCTGACAGATTCCGATCACCTAGTGACTTTGTAGCCCTTGTACTGTCATGGAGCAACACCTTACTCACACAGGAGCAATGGGCTGTTGCATAGAACCTAGGTGTGTCATAGGCTGTGCTGTCTAGGTTTGTGTTAAGTATACTCTGTGATGTGCCCACAACAACAAAATCAGGTAACGGCACATTTCTCAAATCGGTGCCCATTGTTAAGGAACTCATGATCGTATTTCCTCAAGCAGCTGCACTTCACATTCCACCAGCAGTGGGCTGTGCTGTCTAGGTTTGTGTTAAGTATACTCTGTGATGTGCCCACAACAACAAAATCAGCTAACGGCACATTTCTCAAATCGGTGCCCATTGTTAAGGAACTCATGATCGTATTTCCTCAAGCAGCTGCACTTCACATTCCACCAGCAGTGTGCAGGGTCACGTTTCTCCACGTCCTTGCCTACACTTGTTATTGTCTGTCTTTTCATTCTAGCCATCCTAGTGGGAGTGACGTTGTATCTCCTTGTGGTTTTGATTGTGCATTTCTCTAATTAATGGATCATATTGAGCATCTTTTCATGTGCATTTGGCCATTTGAATATCTTCTTTGGAGAAATGTCTATTCAAATCCTTTACCCATTTTTTATTTGGCTATCTTTTTATTGTTAAGTACATTATTCTTTATATATTATGGATACAAGGCCCTTATCAGATATATATTTACAGATATTTTTCTTGCATTCAGAGGGTTGTCTTTTCACCTTCTTGATGATGTCCACTGACATCATCGCAAAAATTTTGAACTTTGATGGAGTCCAGTTTAGCTATTAGTTCTCTTGTTGTTTGTGATCTGGTGCCATATCTAAAAATCATTGCTAATCTAAGATCACAAAGATTTACATTTATGTTTTCTTCTAAGAGTTTTATAAGTTTAGTTTTTACATTTAGGTCTGTGATGCATTTGGAGCTAATTTTTGTGAAATGTGTAAAGTCTGTATGTAGACTTAGCTTTTCAGCATCATTTGTTGAAAAAACTATCATTTACCCATTGAAATGTCATGGCACTCTTGTCAAAAATCAGTTAACCAGAACTGTAGGGATTAATTTCTGGACTGTTAATTCTAATCCATTAATCTATATGTCTGTTCCTATGCCAGTATTATGCTATCTTGATTAATATAGCTGTGTACTACATGTTGACATTAGGAAATGAAACTCTTCCAACTTTATTCTTCTTTTCAAGCTTTTTTTGAGTATTTGGGGTCTCTTGGATTTCTATATGAATTTTAGGATCAGCTTGTCAGTTTTTTCAAAAAAAGGCAGCTGACATTTTAATAGAGATTGTATTAAATATGTTAATCAATTTATTAATCACTTTGGGAAGTGTTGCTATCTTAACAATATTAAGTTTTC